TTTATGGCGTTCCTGGCGCAATAACGAGCAAAATTTTGTCGGAGATCAACCTGAAGAGTTACTTGTTTTCCAAAAAAAAAGCAAAAAGAAAACAACGAACGGCAGATAAGATGCTCACCGGAAGCATCACTGTATTCCCATGAGTGTCCATCATAACGGCTGGTTTGGCTCGCATCGATGCCCACGACTCTAAGGCATTTTTAGATTTTGGCACAAGGAGATGAGTATACAACGGGACGAAGGCATGCATCCTCAAGACTGACGACAGGTCATCTCTTAAGCGATCAAAGTACCCATCCCTTCCGCCAGCGAACTTCTCCTACAAACATATTGGCTCATTTTCTTCTAATCTGACTGAATTTGATGAGTTACTTGCTAACCTTGCAGATATCCTGATCGTAACAATAAGCGCGAGCTGGCAGTTGTTCTTCTTTCGTTAATGTATCAAGCACCCAATAGTAGGTCCTATTGCGATTCTTCATCGATACGTTGAAAATGTTCTGCAAAAAGAAAACACTTGCTAACTACTCCCAAAAAAAGCTCTAGCATCTTAATAATCAAGCTTTCACCAAAATGATGGTTCAGTGTATACCTTGAATTGCTTGTCTTCATAGTCAACGAGAGGGACAAGGCTATCACGCATTATTTCTTCAACGCTCGGTCTGAGCTCAGCTTCGGACTCCAACATATTACAGATAAGGCTTCGTATGTGTCTCGCCTGAATCCAAGATAGCATTCAAATTTTGCATGCAACACTTTAGAACTGCAAATTACCTGCGCCATACTAAATCCATCTCCAAAATCAGGGGGGAAGGTAAGGTAATTTTTCACTTCGTTAATGATGGCGTGACGTTCCATTCCTGTTGCAATTGGATGATAACACATTTCGAAAAATACTACTCCAGTACTGCAAATAATGTTATGTATAACTGTAAGAACAATCCCAGTTCCATCGTTTAAAATCTGCCTACCTGTACACATCAATCTTAGAAGTGTAAGGTTCAGAATTGTTCACATCGAATAATTCAGGTGCCATGTACAACTCAGTACCAATATCCTTTGTCAACGCTAAACAAATATAGTCGTTTTATAGATATTGCATAGATCAAAATCCAAAAAAGACATGACCTTGTTCCACACTTTCGGAAGTGGACGCACAAGCTGGAGTCTGGGACCTCTTGAGAAGCAAACCTTTGGTGGCAAGACCAAAATCTCCAATTTTAATATGTCCCTCGACGTCTAGCAAAATATTTGTCTGAAACTTTTTTCATTTGAAAATTTTTAAAAAATGTTATATTGTGACAGACCGGTTTAACATCGCGATGAATCATGCCCTGACGATGAATGTAGCCTAGTGCACTGAGAATTTCAGCGAAAAGTTTCCAAATTACGTTCGGCTTGCCAACGGTATGGCAGTCATCAATGTATTTCCTCAATGTCCCTCCTCCGCAATATTCCATTTGAATAAATAGGATTCGTTCAAGACCAACTGGGCTCTAAACATATGGTTAATAAAAGCAAAAAATGACAGCTTCGTATACTGACATCAATTCAAACAACAAACCGTGGGGCTAATAAGGTGAGAGAGTTCCATAGCTTTTGCTGGCCCGCTTTCAGGACTGTGGAAAGAGCTTGGCTCCAAATCTTCACTTTGAGAAGTTGGCGTTTTTGAAGCAGACGAAGAATCCTCATTTTCGAACAAAATATCCTAGAATTCCCGAGAATCTGAATCAGAACAAACTTGCCTATCACAGTGACCACATTTGCACGAAATTTAATTACAATGTCCTTTTTCCCCCTCTTCCTTCCTCCATTACAGCCATATCAAACTTCCATTAGCAGTTCCCACAAGCTAGATTACTATCTATTTCACTTACAATGCTAGATTCCGCATCTGTGCTTCGAGCGTTCGGTCTTACTTGTTCAGATTCATCTTCACTGCTTTCTTCTTCGGAAGAAGATGGCCTCTCTTTCCCTATAAATACCAACTTCGTAGCGAACTTGCTAGTGCCAAACTATGACCAAAAATATGAAGAATGGTGTACCTTTGCAGCTCGCTGTCCACTCGTTGGCATCAACCTGTAGTCCTCCTGCAGCTACTTCGATGTTCTGAAGACGCGATGGTAATAGGGAATCTAAAACAGACAGATTAGAGATTGTTCGAAGATGCGTATTTGCCCAGAAGCAACGATATTTTTCTATATATAGTATAAAGATGAAAAGCAAACCATCTTCATCAAAATCGAGTTTTTTGGCAATCAAACGTGGTGGTGAATTCTCGGATTCCGATGAGGTCGAGTAACTAGAACTTTCCTGACGCAATGTCGCAACATTCTCAATCCAAGCACTAAACAGTCAATTGCGCTATTCAAATAAAGATTACAATTTGCTCCAACTAACATACTTGAAGTAACGAACAATATTGGGGTGATTTAACTTGGAAAAAAGCTTCGCCTCACGAGTAATCTTTCTGGAATACACTTCATCCGTAAGATCCAGAGGAATACATTTCACGGCATAGTCACTCCAATCAAGCTTGTTGCTGTAAGCAATGAATAATGAAAAATGTAGATACTGGAGAATTTTTGGACCTGCAAACCCACCGCGCCTGGTATACTTCGCCGAAAGCTCCTCGCCCAAGACATCGCTGGAGCATAAAATCCTTAGCAAGTCGAGTGTCCTTCTGCTGCACCGGCACAATGCGCTTATAGGGCGCATCGTAGCGCTCTTCAGACTCAAACACCATCGCACCTAAATAGTCTTATGTGTTGCAAATGCGCTTGTAGAGGCGTACGCACTATTAAAATACTGGTGATGTACAAGTTCATCAACATTCTTTGCACTTGCACAAGCTTCTGCGAAGTTGCGCAACTGATCAGGCGTGTTTTC